ATTTCATCTGAAAGTTCAGCAACTGTCAGTCAAGAGCTGCAGGATGGCTACTCTGAGGTACCACAGAACAGAATATTGGAAAATAATTAATTCAACAGACATGCAAAATTAGGAAGGAAAAAAAACAGAAAAAAAGAATATACTAAGGAGAAGGGAAAAAAGGGACTGGTCTTAATGAACTTCTAGAACAGACTTGTTTTCTGTTGAGGACATGTCATATTTCAGAACTCTCTGCTTAATCACTGCATTTTAAAAATACCAATACAACAGCAATGGAGCCTATTACTCTGCAATTAGTAATTTAAAAAAGAAAGGTATGTGTTTTATTTCATACAGGTGTTTATCTGTAGAATATATGTTGTCCCATCAGTCCTATCAATTCACCTGAGCAATGGAATTCACCTTTTCAGAAGCAATAGAGATGCAACACATCTCCATGTGTTGTGTCTCTAAGCAAAGAACACTGGCTTGATTGACAGGCAAGACAGTCACCATGATATTTGTGTGTACTCACCTTTATATGGTAAATATAAGTTAGGCTTTATTAAATAAACTCACCGAGTCAGACTTTTAGAATTGATTTTAAATGAGATTGTTCTTGCTGTAGAACTTTAATAAATCTGGACAACAAATGCCCTACTGAAGCAGAATATGAGGTGATGCAACACAGCTGATCTGGTGCAGATGTGTATAGCTCTTTTTATTACATTTTATAAGAAGTAAAAGGAAATGGGTATAACCATGTATATTTTTGAATGACATCAGATGTATCCCATCACCCCATTCTTGGCCATCAAGAATGTAAAATATTATCTGCAAAACAGGGTTCTTGACTGTGGAATCTGACACACACAATGATACCCTAGTTTCTGGCCTTAGTGGCATCAGTTCATTATGCCATGATCTTGTTTTAAAACTGAGTTAAACACAGTTAAACACTCTTTCTGATTCTCACATGATTCTCATTATTAACTGTCCACTTTGAACAGACCAGCTACCAGTTCTTTTCCCATAAAGCAGTAACATTCTAGAGGGACACATTATCCTTAAAAGTTAAAACTAATGAAAAATTCCTATCTTCTGTAGATAGAAGTATTTCAAAAAGTCTCATGCTACTTGTGGAAAAAAAAAGAAATAGTGCTCAAAAAAAAGGATTATATCATTCTTCCCCATTATACTTTTTTTGGTGAATTCAGCATATGAAAGGTGGAGGGTCATACCCTTTATACTCATCCTAACAGAGATGAGACATACAACATAGGAAAAGGAAGTTTAAAATACACTCCTCTGTCATGATGCTTTTATCTGTTTCATGTGAAACCTTGAGATTTGACTGTTGCCCATGCAGTAGAGAAGCGTCTATTTCTTTCATTTGTGAACATGTATGTGAATGTAACAATAATCAATGAAATGAAAAATCTACTCCCCGAATTTGCCACGTGCGATGTCTGCTTTGTACCACTGCCTTGTGGAGTGAAATGAGAGCCAGAAAGTTCTGACTTTCCCAGCTGCAGTTTATGAACATTTTACTTACTTGTTCATGTAGGGAGAGGAAGAGGTGAACTGCAGCCTGACTAAGATTTCTATCTAAACTTGAATTCCACTGGGTACCTAAGCCAGATGTTGCTAATTCATCCTCCTGGCATGGCAACCAGTAAAAGCCAAATCACAATGAATCCCAAATAGAAAATGAGAGTTATAAAACGTAGTAAAATCTCTACTAGCTGGAGGCTGCATTTGGTTTCTCACACTGAAAAGGATCAGAAGGCTTTATAAGGATTGCCTAATTTTCATTTCTTTAGATGCTATCAAGTTAATTTTCAGCCAAGATCAGCACATTTGCAAATTCATTGTGGCCTATGAAAAGACTGGGAATTGAAAAGGATAGGGCAGTGCTTGTTCTCATTACACCACCACAGTTTACTACCTGTCATTTGGAAAGATCTAGCAGGGAGTTGATGCTGCCTTTCAAAACTCACCTGCCGAATGATGGCTCTCACAGGATCTGACATTTGCTGTAATCAGTGTAACAGCTCAACAGAGGTCAGGAGTTCCAAGAAAAGGAAACATGCCCATGTTTCCACTCTCATCTTGGCTGATCAACTAGAGAAGCCTCTGGCTTGAGCCTTGAAATATTCCAGTCTTTCTGCCTCTCTGCTAGGAGTTTTATATAATTTTTTCTCTGAATTTATGGAAATTTTGTTGACAACATCATATTTCTTAGTGCATATTTGAAATATTCGGTATATTTTGAGTCCAAAATAAATTTTTTTCTCAACTACTTGCTATTATACTCTTAAGTGTTACTATTTACATCCAATGCATGCAGTTCCAATATAGAAAACACAACTAATTTTCTATTTTTTACCATTTCAAGTGTTCTTTTCATCACTGTCAACTCAGAGAGGGGGAGCTTTATTTCCCTTTTGTCCCACAATCCTCTTCAATTTTTTTTTGTCTGTGGGGTCCAGCATTTTTTGCACCATCTTTCCATCACTATTAAATGTACTACCACCATTCTGAGAACTTCTTATTGTTTCATGCTGTCCAAATAACTACCACCTTCTTATCAATACCCATCACCTTTGATCCTTAAATTTTAATTAATAGATCTTATCTTTCTAACGATTTTCCAGACAAATCTACTTTCACAATTACTGCATTAAAGGAAAGCTGCCACATTATGGACAGTCAACAAGTCTTTTCTAATTACTTTTTCTTTCATCTTTTTAACTTGCTGCAACATTGAGATGTTTGGATAACACTTCTGGAGTTACAGCATCTTACACACCTTCTCAGGTACATTTGTTTCCTCGTTGTAATGCTAATAGGTCTGTCTGTGCTCCTATTGTCTTCTCCATATCAAGAATACTTTCATTAAGGAATCCTGAGGGTTGTTTCCTTGACTCTAGTTTGACAACTGTCTTCCCTTTTTACTTAACTAATTAAAATCCACATATATATAAATTCTAAGTGAAAAAAACCTTCAATTACCCTGCCAGTGCTCATTAAAAAAAAAGCTGTGGGTATTTGTTAAGTGAAATTAAATAGATACAACTTTTTTTTAAAAAAAGTACAACAGGATGAAGACACCTTTCAAGTTCATGATGTGCTTGTAGGAAGAAGTTAAAATTAGCTGTTTAACTGCTTAGAAAAGAATTTATTTTATTTAAAAAAAAATCAAGATGGCAAGACTATTTGAGATGGTATTTTAATTTTTAGATAAATGATGTGTTGATATAACAAGTAAAGAGTCCTGTTTCTTCTCTGCATACCATGTTGATACTTGCTGCACATGAAGACAGAAATTAACCTTACATCTGTGTAGCCTTTTCTGACTCTACTCAAAAATATTATTTAAGCATTTCATTAAAATTAGGTCATTTCAATTAAATTAGATTTTGCCTAACTTCCTTTATGATAAAAAACTACAACCCTCTCTACATAAGGTAAGCCAAAAAGGAAATCTGGTTTTGAATTCAATGTTCCCTAAAATTTGAGATATCCACAGATAAGTAAACCTTTTTCTTCTCCAGTATTTGACAGGCAACAAGACCCTACCAGTCTCGCTGCTAATCAAATCAGCCTCTCTTTCCAGTTTGACCTTTTGACTGAGTTTCTTGAAGTGCTCCACAGTAATTCCTTTGGAGTATAATGATCGGTGCTGATGAGAGGTGAATGCATTATAATTGCAGGCTGTCCTGACAAAGATCATGGCCAAAAAGCTTTTCAAGCCAGGAAAGATATTTTTGCTTTCTACAGGAGTTCTAATGAAGAATAAAATGCCTTGTTGACCCCATGTGCCAAGGGCGCAAAAACAGCAGAGATCCCTAAATTATATGTTAGAGTGGTGGAACATTTTAACTGTTGTTTATATAGTTTGTTTTTTTTTTACTGTCTTTATTTTTTTCAGTAATAAAATCAAAGAGGTAAGTTCAGGGTGAACCATAACAGTGAAAATGGAACCAATTAACTGCTTTTTGTTCATTAGGCAGTATCTTATTCCTTCTTTTGAGATAGGAGCATATCTTTGCACTCTCTGCATCTGATGTTATACAAACTATTATGAAAATTCCCAAATGCAAATTCTAACTTCATCTATTGTAGCTTCATTTATACTTACCCATATAGTTGTTATTATTGTTAGTATTAGTGGTATTATATTATTTTCTTAAATTTTTTACATTTGTGCATCTTCCCATGAAGAAAACAGAAAACAAAATAGAAGTATCTCCCACCTTCGTGAGTTACACTCATTGCAATTCCATATATATAAAGTTGGACCAGAGAAAGGGAACTGAGAAATATGTTCACTAACTGAAGACTTGGTGTAAGGGAGGTGAAAGCACTTTTCTTCCTCAAATCTCTCCTCTTGAAGGTGACCTTACAGCTCAGTCCTGTACATATTTCTCTCCTTGTATGAGGAAGCAATTTTTTCATTCTTATGAATCAGGTTGCTCTGCTTCCCCTTAACACGTTTCTTTGTGTGGAAATTATCATTATATAATTAATAGTTGTTATACAAAACATATACATACTTACCTGTTCAGTGTACTGAGTTTTACCTTGGTAATTTTTATTCATATCTGTTTAAATAGTTGTGCAGATATTAATTTTATATGAATGAATTTGTCAATAGGCCAAAAAAAACCAAACATACATTTTCAGAATTTTGGAACATTGATTTATTCTGGTTAATTCTGTAAAGGATAATGATAACAGTTCTCTTTTATAGGAAAATTGGTAAGACACAATCTGAAGAAAAGAATATATACCTGCATCAAATAGGTTAATTTGAAAAGATTAGATATGTTCTTACTTTGGTGAAACACTCCAATTCCCTTTGAGTTGAGAAAGTAAAAACACCAAGGTACTCTCTAAAGAAAATCTAATGAGAATTCTTCAGGTAGAATAATGAACAGCTACCACAAAAAAATAAAGATAGTTCAAGTGAGAATTAGAATTATAAATTTAAAAAGCCCAAATGTTCTTTTTCTTACCTGCTGGTTTACGGGAAAATTCCTGTTGATTTTTTTAATCTATAAAAATGAATAAAGAAATAGATTAATACTCAGTCACTAGGATGAAAAACAAAACAAAACTGGATTTTAGATACATATATTAGATTCTCCTGTCCAAATTATACTTGCAAAAAAGAAAATAAAATCTCCTGCAGTAAAGGAACTGAAATCTTTGGCAAGCTCATTTGAACAATGGGATATTTCTGTGGTTACTGTGGTTCATTTTGCTGTTTAGATCCCAGAAGAGGTGCATACACACAAAATTATTTCTAAATTCTGAAACCCAATGTAATTTCCTTTTTTTTTCTTCTTATTAGAAGATATAAAATAAACTAGAATATTTAACTCTAAATAAAATTTTTTCAGAGCAACTTACTGCCAACCACCAAAGTCATCAATCTCTAAGCAAGTTCCTTTCCTTAAGGAATGATGAACATTTGGGTTGGAACAACTTTGGAAACATCATTTATTCTACCCTTTTATCCTAGGTGCAAATTCAAGTATGCAAAATCATTTCTGATAATTGTTCAAGTAATTTTTTCTTAAAACATTCAACAACATCCCTAGGTGAAAAGTAACAAGAAAACCAGGATGAGACACCTAATTCCTGATGAGTTTCTGTTTAGCCCTGCAGTTCATGGACTCCCTCTGAACAAACATTGCCAGCTTTCTGACACGAGTGTCCAATACAAAGAGAATTATGTGTAGAACATACCCATTCCTACCATTACTAGAAGAAAAATGTTGTTTTTTAAGCATAAGCTCTGAAAGTTTTTGACAACCTAGTAAATCTAAAACCTAGTACATCATAACAGATACCTAATACCTAGAATAAAAACATATTTAAATTGAAGACATTGTCAACTAGGTCTCTATATGGAATGTAACTGAATGATCTGGAAAGCCCTGAAACCACTATATAACATAAAACTGCTTCAACCAACCTGCAACATCTTTTTAGAAGAAAAGAAGAATCACCACTGAATTTCCCCCAGTGTTTACAATATTGTCCCTAAACAAATACATGCAGAGATGTGAGTGGCAATGTGTTTTGCAGACTTCAGAACCAGGCTGCAGTCACAAGCTCTTTGAATTCCTCATGCAAATACTGAGCAAGTGTCACTGGCATCCCACAATTTTGCTATCAAAGGATAATTCCCACTGTCAGGAACATGCTGGCACACAATTTCAGTTGGTTTTCAAATGTATCCTCCATCAAAAGTGTCAGAAGAACATTTCTACCCTTCCTTCTTTCTTCAATGCTAGTTAAGGAGAAGCATTAGAGGAACAAGGTCATTCAAAAGACAAAGAAATAGTATAAAATAAATCCATACAAGATACCAACTATCTAATGTGATTTTTTAAAATAAAAAGCAGATAAAACCCACATTTTTTTGACATAAAAAATACTTGAAGACTTCTGGGATTTATTCCTGAATCAAATATTAATTACTCCAGCATGATAAATTCCTATTTGTGTTAGTAGAAACTATTAAAGTCCTTGTGAAAACCATGTATTTTAATCTAAGACTACAGCTAATAGCCTGAAAATTTTAAGTCTTGAAAGTACAATGTTAAGAAAAAGAAATTTTACTTCTCTAAACAAAATACTGTAAATATTTGCTTAGTGGCAAGTTACAGTTATATTTCGAATAATTTAGGAGTGTTTTTATTTACTTCAAACATAGAGACTGCATTTTTTTAACAAAGTACATTAGGTGCATTTTGTGCTGTTAATGTTCTTCTAAAATGTAAATACATACTTGAAACATCATTTTCTCATTCAAAAATTTCCAGCTCATTTTCTAAAATACAATCTAAGCACCTATACGTTACATGGTTGTTTTAACTGCTGTTATTTTGATTAACTAAAACAACTATGTTTATCTTTCAGGTAATAAGGTGATTTCTTGAAATGCATTATTTTTAATTCTTTTACAGAAACTTCAAAACTGTATTATAGTTGTTCAAATCGACCTGAAACTAAAAATTGTTAAGTATGATTAGTTTTAGGAACACCTAAATGCTTATCATTCATGTGCATCACTATTGAACATTACAGAATAAAAAAGTTCAACAATTAGGCAGCACACATACGTTCTTCCCAGCCTGTTACAATGTACATTAAGTAAAATTTAATTTCCAGACCTAAATTATTTGGTAATTAAAACCTAAAAGTAAACATTTTCCAGAAATTAAAAAAAGAGAAAAAAATCTTCAATTACTTTACTGGTTATCTAAAAGAGAAATGTTGCTTCAGTCTTCCAACTTTACTGAACCCATTGTAATACTACTATGTGTTATTAAGTACAATCATAGCACACAGAACTATGTAACTAATGCAATTAAATAAAATTTGTTTTCATCAGTACAATACTCTGCATGTATATACATGAATGTAATATTTCTAAATAAAACACACCAGCAGATACTATACTAAAAAACAGAGGCGTTCTGAGAATATTATTTAGAAAGATGTGTTTGTGCGGAGCAATTAAAAATCAAAATAGCACAAAAGGAGACAGAAGAAGAAGCTAGAAAACAGACTCTTGTTGTCTGAAGGCAAAGACAATGTAGGCTGATTTGAAGTTAGCAAGAACTACCTGCTTCTGCTTCAAGCACAAACAAACAGGTGCTGAGGGATGATATTCTATTCTGATTCAATTTCCATGAATGCAAATTAGGAGGAAAAAAAAATCTAAGAACACTATAGAGAGAGTAATTTGGGAATTAATGATCAATTCAAGGTGGAAGGAGGAGGAAGGAGTCAGAAATAAGGTCTCTGCAGTATCTTGCATCTGAGAAGGAAAGAGATAAGCGCTGATAATACAAGACTAATAATGGTATCATAGAAACATAGAATGGTTTAGATTGGAGAGAGCATTAAAGATCACCTAGTGCCAACCCTCTACCATGGTCAGGGACACTTTCACTAGACCAGATTGTTCAGAGCTCCACCCAGAGCTCTGGCTTTGAAAACTTTCAGGGATGGGAAGAATATATTTTAGTGAAAGCTATCAAAGAAGATTGGTTCAAAATATAACTGATTGTTAATGGTACAAATACGTTTTGCTAGATATCTTCCAAAAATTCATCTCACAGTATGTTTGGACATCACAGACATGAAGAATACTGGGCAGGGAGATGATTTGAAGGGGAACATAATGAAAAATGTCCCATGGCCAAATTCAGTCATTTTTGTGCACTAGATGGTGCAACCACAGATGGATATTTTCACAGTGATGGCTGTGCCTGCTCTGCAGAGGAAACAAACAAGAACATGGAACACAGCACTTCTCAGCAGGAACACAAATGAGCAAGCCTTGGCTTCAGGTGTGCACAATGATTGCAAATGTTTGGGCTTTTTAGTTTTTATTATTTAAAAGTCTTTGTGCCAGAGAAGCAGTAATACAGAATACTGTTCCATACTATTATCTTTTCCCATTAATTGTAGCCTATTATTGTTGCTCTCTTCTGAAATGCAGCTGATTAAGCTCATAAAAGTTCGGTTTTAAATTTTCACATTCAGTTAAAGCTGAACTGAATCGTTCACTCCTCTGAGAGATACCATTTCAGAACTTCTTGGGGCCAATAGCACAGCAGAAATATTTATTTTCAGTTTCCATATGAGGATTTTAAAGTGCAGTTTGAAAGCTACTATTTATTAGGGTTTTTTTTCCCTTTCTTACCTATTTATATTAATGAAATTTGATATTCCAATTTAATCACAGGATCCCCATGAGATAATGAGGAAATGTATCTTTCAATAAGAACCAAGTACTCTTAAAAGTAGTAAGATCAAGAGATTTCAGGTTTCTCCAACCCTTAAAAAATTGAATAGAAGCAATCAGATGTTTGAAAACTCTATGTGTACCACACTTCCTTCGATCCTATTTCATTATAAACCATACTGTAAATTAGACTCAAACTTCTAAAAGGATAATGGGAAAGATGATTAATAGACAATTAAGATTCAGGTAATACATCCAGTCCTCCAGAAGAAAGAATAAGAGAGTAGGTGTTAGTTGTTAGGACAGAGATCCTGACAGAGACCATTCCACTGGAGTACCTAGGGGAACAGCTAAGGCAACATATGAAACAAGTGGGCACCAGTGCCTGCTCAGCCTTTTGCTGACTTAGGCAGTAAATAAGATACTCCCCACAATTTCACATATTATTTGATCTCTCATTTTCTTGCAGTCTGTAGATATCATATAATTTTGCAGGTCACAGTCATTTTCCAATTTAAAAGAACCTTTTATTTTTTTAATTTATGCTAGCCATTTTTATGGATTTCCCCAAACAATTTAGACTCTCTAACCTTCTCTATCAATTGTTTGCACTACACAACTGCTGACTCACATTCATTAGCAGGTTATTAAAATAGAATAGCTTGAGAAGAACATAAATTCATTACATAGTTCTTCATCTCATGCATAGAGATGAAGACAAGCAACAATACAGTTTGTGCTATTGGGATGTTAAGTGATTTCAAAGAGGAAGCCAGATCATTAAAATTCGGAAAAAAACATGAGTCCGTGCTGTGATAATCTTATGTTAATGGATAAGAAAGAGTACATAACACTTCAAATTACTAGTCAGCTAGTCTTACTTTCTGTCCTTGCTAGGTTTTTATTTACTCAATGGGATAGGTAAGTTGTGGCAAGATTGTGAAATTTTGTTGTACAAGAGTTTATGTGCTTTGAAAGAATCAAAGAAGATTTGAAAGAAGCATGCAACAGCCCCCACAAAATACATCATATATTGGTGAATGCATTCAAATATATGTATAATTGCCTGTAGAACAAATATAGCAATTCTTGGTGCTGGTTTTGCAAGCTGCAGTAGATTTTAGAATTCACACTAAAAATCCGTATAAGCTAAGTTACGCAAAATGATCAGTCAATATGTTCTGGAAAATATGGGAGCACAGGAAGTATTTAATTCACATCTGCCTCTTGACCTACCAGTGATGGCACCATTCTCTGTCATGTGTTGATCATATTTAACCAGCTGAA